CAACATCATCACAATGTTTCTTATTTGCCTTTCTAAACATAATTTTATCATTGAATAAGTACGTTATTCTCCTTTAAACGGTTTTTTTTATTGTCTATATACATTTTTTCTTAATTTTGGTTGAATTAAATTTTCAAAATCGTTTTTTTTTTTTGTCTAAATGAGACTTTGAGCATATTCTAATTTAGTCAAACTTAATTTTATTTATAAAACTTCAGTAACCAAGCCTATTGATTCATGTTCTAGTTAATTAAAGATGATAGATAGTGTATCAATATTTCTACAATAAAAAAATGTTCCTCTATTACTAATTCTTTCATCCATGGGAAGTTACATCATACGTGGTTGACTACAGCTATAATTGGTGAAATCGCAGAAAAGTAGATAGTTTCTAAACATTTCTACAAATTATTCCTCCTTTGCTAATAACAAAATATCTCCCCATAATCGAGGAACATTTAACTACCTAGTAACACTGATGATTTATTTGTTGTCCCTTACGGTGGCACGCATAATAGCCCTCTATAAGTACTTACTCTAAGCCTTCACCAAACGGTACAGCGCCATCTTGTTACTGGGTGTAGAAACTCATTTGAAAAGAGTAGATAGTTTTTTGTTTTCTCCTATTTCTCTCAAATAAATAATTACTCCTGAATGCTACCAAAGTTTTTAACTATTTCTGCTTAAATATTTATAATCTCTAAGGTTTAACACTAGGTTTGAAAGTTCTTGCAGTTAGTCTTGCTATCGATTGTTATGCCAATGTTAGTGCGTCTCTCAAATCAGTCACCACACTAACATCTATAAAATTTTGCGCACTTGTTTAGAAGCGCATATAACATATATGAATATTACGCCATTCCAACGAAATTTCACACATATACCTTCTATTGATAATCCCTTTTTTGAAGTCGGTCAAAATACATTTAACCCTTATTGCAGCACAATAAAGTTTAAAACTTAAGGCAAGCATGAATATTTAGTAGTAATTAAAAGGATTTTCTTAGTTTTAAAAATGAATAAAGAATTCTTTGGGTTTAAATGTATCATGTGAATGAGGAAGTATTTAAAATTAAATCTTGTCTATGATATTCATTCAAATTTTGTTTCTGACATAGTCAAAGTAAATTTTAAGTTAATTAATAAATATGACATCGTTTCGTGTTTCTTATAATATCTAACTTTCAAATTAATTTTAATGTATTTGAATCGTAAGTTTAAGTTATTTATTATGTAACGTGTAAAGGAGCGATGTCTAGTTTATATGTCAAAATTAGTGATGAGCCAACTTATTGATTGCTCGTAACTTCGAAACATCCGAATTCAGGTTTAGAATCAAGAACTAAAAGGGGAGCGCTGAATTGATTTTTGCTTGTTTTTTTATAGTGCCAGTATTTCCATATGTAATATATACGTCAACATTAGCGATGAGCCAACTTATTGGTTGCTCGTAACTTTCATCCGAATTCAGGTTTGGAATGAAGAACAAAAAGCGGAGCGCAGAATTCAGCTTGTATTTGAACGCGTCATTATGCAACCACACGTCGAATGATATAAATATCAAAAACAATTCAGTGTATCAACTATGCTAGCGGTTCGCAAAACTACGGCGAGAGACCTTGCACTGAGAATAACCGGCAAGAAACTCAACAAGGGTTTTTTCTCCCTGTTTTATTCTGTACAGGGAAGTCTTATTGGAATGTGAGTTAATTAGAAAATGTCATGGGGACACTTTCCATTACAATATCACAAAAAATAACAACACAGATATTTTCCAATTACGGATTATTATGTGGGTTGCTGGAGTTATAAATACTCATTGACAAATCAATAAACAATATTCATAATAAAAGAAAATGAACAAAATTAGGTAGTCCAATGGAGACTCATACCCACTGGCAGCACCCGTTGACGAGCTTGACGCAAGAGCCAGCCATCGCTTCGCTCGATTATATTTAAAGGAACGTAACGACCCGACGCACACGACACCACCGCAGAGATTTTTAAGATAGCGTGTAACTACTCTAGGCAGTTAAGATATAATATATTTCAACAAAACTGATTTCTAGAGTAGGCTGTCAATCTATTATTGACAATATTATTGTAAGAACCCAAAAAAGCACATACCCACCGCAGTGTTGCCAACCCTTATTTAAGAAAATTAGTAGAATTTGTGCCAAAAATCGGTAGAAATTAGTAGAATCCAAGATAAAAATCGCTAGATCTACCACCTTAATTTAGTAGGTTTTTAACACGCCTAAATTAGTTTCACTTGTATGTATGTATGTTTGTAACTTTCGTTTGCGCGCGCATGTTACTTTCCTAGGGCATTTTCAGGGCCCTCTCCGGAATCGAACCCTGATTTGCCGTAACCCTTTACAACCATGGTCGGGTAAGTTAACTCTCCGTCGTCTGTCGTGAGATGTCACTGATGACAAAATGAGCGGTAATGCAAAATTACTATTTTCCTCAAGTCATATATTGTAAATTAATTTGTTGGATATTTATTGCAACTTAATACAATATACATATATGCCAAGAATTACAATGGTAATAATAATATTATTATTTCCATTATTAAAATTTATGTAATTTAAATAAAATAAATATAGTTAAAATAAACTAAAAAACACACTTTTATAGCATACGAAAGTAAAAAATAAACATCGTTAAAAAACACGCTTTTAAAAAACATCGATAAAAACTTAAAAAATAATTATTAAATGAAGCTTTAAAAACTGATGATCAAAAAACACTAGCATTATTGTAAAAAAAAAGCGTTTTATACTATTAAATTTTTTTTTATTTATTTATTCGCCGTTGAGCTAAGTCACAAAGCTATACCGCCTCATCCTTCCATCCAAATTAAGAAAATTAAAAACACGTATTACAACATTTTCAAAAATAGGTAGATTTAAGGCTTAGGGTGGTAGACAGGTAGACTGAGGGCAAAGTAGGTAGATCTACTTAAAAGTTTGTAGATCTGGCAACACTGACCCACCGTACGAATTTACATAACACCTAGCTCGACGTCCGCCGCCGACATGCAAGTTCAGTAGCGATAGCTATCGCTACTGAATTATTAAATTTCATAATTAAATACTATAGTATAATAACTGGACGTAAGACACGAATTTTGAAATTTAATAATTATGACCTTTGTTGCTGATTAATAAACCATATTCATTCATTCACCACACTTGATGATCTAAAATCATCATTGAAATTTGATGTAGTTTTGTTGCTTAGTTTGATTTCGGAAACTAATGTTTTTTTAAACACTTCCTCATTCTATTCTCTTTGGTATTTGCTCTGCCATCTAGTGACATAAAAATTTGTAGTTTCTTTATTTATTTATTTAACTACTTCCTCATTGTTTTATCTATTTATTACAATGATATTAATATGTCTAGATACTCAATACATACCAAAAATCTGAAGCTACTAAAACTAAGATGTTTGTCTTAGTCTTTTCGTTTTTCACTTCATTACTCATTCAACTCCCGCCGAGAAAGTACAAAAAAATGCTCCGCAAAAACGAAGAAAAACAGCGGATAAAATACGATTCTCTTTCACAAATACAAATAATACGAAATAATATTAAGTTTCATACTTAAGTCCAATGAGTTTAATAACTAGAGAAGCATTCCCATACAACAGACGCGCCAAAAAGCGTAGTACTTTTCCGAAATCACGTAGCTTTGCAAATTATATTTATACTATATAATATAAATAGGTTTATTACATTTGTATCTCTCATATCTACGATTGAACCTTAAATTAAACAAAGACAGAATATGTGCGAACGACAGAATGAACGGAAAAATGGGTAATTGATATTGTATTGCTAGCTCTCGAAAATTCACCCATTATGATGAATGAATGAATGAACAAGTAAGGGGCCGTCCATTAATCACGTGATGTTTTTTAGGCATTTTTTAACCTCCCCTCCCCCATAGTGATACATGGTGAGGTTTAAGACTACCCCCCCCCCCCTCCCCATATATCACGTGTATTTTTAGTACTTACAATGAATCTTAATTTTCTAATTGTATTATAGACAATTAAAGAGTACAATAATGTCAAGAGGTAGACAGAAAGATTACAGGACTTGCAGGTTGTTTTTGATTGACAAAAATCATGAAAGGAATGCGAAAAACTTTATGAATATTATTATTTAATGAACGCCGCTTTTCGGTTGAGTATCGCGCGTTTGTCGAAAAAATAAATACACGTGATATGTTACTTCACCCCCCCTCCCCCTTGTGATATTTCGTGACTTTTTTATGGACCCCTCCCCCCCCCTTTCGAGCCTCACGTGATTAATGGACAGCCCCTAAATGTAGATATATGTATAAAATCAATTAGAAAAATACTGTAACTTTGAAAACTTATTTGAAAAAAAAAAACAATCACGAAACTACTTTCGTGATTGTTTTTTTTTCATAATTAAATACTATAGTATACTATAGTATAATTTGGATAAAAGGGATTTATATGCACAAGGGATATAAATCCCTTTGTTAAAGTCAATGTTTAAGAGAAAAACATTTGTTAAAAAAACAAACAGTGAACAAAAGATCAAACAAAGGTTCAATTTTACGTATTTTCAAAAGTTGAATCTCGACAACTAACGAATTCCACGCCTTGAAAAAATTAAATTAACTTTAAAAAATTAAACCACTTTAGCATCTGTGTGCGTGTATGAAAAAAATATCAACACAATTTGCACACTTGCCTATACTAAATCTGAGCCATATAATTAATTAAAAGAAGATATTTAGATAAATTATAGCCACTTAAAATAAAAAGAAAAGGCTCCCATATTGTGGGGAAAATTGAAAGTGAATAGCAATGGCAACACTGACGATAAAATGTCAAAATTTTATTTGTGAAAATTAAATATTTTTATTTTATAAACTATATAACTTTTAAGGATGAAGTGTGCAGGCACACCAATAATCAGAAATGTTTCAAATTCTACTAAAGTACATAGGCCAGAATTTAGTAACAATTTTTGAAATGTAATACAAATCATATAGTATGCCTATTACCTAGAGGTCTAGCTTATCATGTCTATACTCGAGAGAAGTACCTAATTACTTGAGAAAGTGTCATAAGTAAATATTTTTAACAAATAAACAAGAATTTGAATTTCATAATTCATTCAAAATTCTTATTTTAAGACATTGTAAGACATTCTAAAATTACTTAATTTAAGGTGCGTCACTATTTTTCATTATTTACTCACAATTTATTGACATAAATTAGATCCTTAAATCGATGGTGAGCCTGCTATCTTGAAGAACACTGAAGAAAGTTCACAAACTAATAGTTTTATTTATAACACATGTTACAAAAATTAATTAACATTCATAGCTAAGGATTTTTAGTGTGGTAGAAAAACTTGGATATGTATTGCCTGAGGGAAGAAAGAGACTACTTCAGGAGCAACAAATACATGGCTCATTAGTCCAGCTATTGTCAAGATAAAATATTATTTCCATTATAATAGAAGACATTTTTATTGAGAAAGAATAAATCCTCAAGTAAAATTGGTGTTTTCTAAATATGTATCAATCTTTGTAAGGCTTACAATTCAATTCATTAAACATTTATTTACACTAAACTTTCTTATTTTAAAATAATTCATGACTCATTTTATATGGGTGTAAATTATGTATCAATAAAACATAATACAATTTAATATTGGTCTATGGCATTTTCCTTCAAAATCATGTAACAATTCGTCAATATCATTGTCCAAATCTTCACTTTGAGCCATTTTAGTAACCATATCACTTATTAAAAATGCACCTATTGTGGCCTCTTCATGATTATCTTGGATGTCAATATTTATCACATGAACTGGCTGGTTATGAACAGATCTACGAGAACCAAACCATTCTATAACTTGGTCATAAACTCTCTCTTCACATGTTATAATAACATCAAATCGTTCCGTTGATACTTGGAATTTTTCTGGGCAGGGCTTAATTCTCCGATTTCTATCAAGCATATGAAGCAAACCATTCTGAGTATAGTATCCTTTGTCCTTTTCCAATAAGTCGTTATAAATATCATCATAGGGTATGCCAAATTCATAACAATTGGGACGATCAGCAGATGCACCAGGTAATTTGACTTTTTCACCTGTTCCAAATGATTTTACTTTAAATCCTTTCTTTACAAGAAATGCATGTGCTTCCATGCTGCGGTTCATGTTCGACGAACATACTACTGCAATAAACAAATCGTCCATCGTACTATAAATTGATGATGACAGCAGAGTATAGTATTAAAACGTAGTATTTAAATTCTCTTTGAATTAAATTAACCATGTCATTTCTGAGAACTATAAACAAAACACCCAAAGAATAAATTAAAAATATTAAATAAAATTCCTCCTCAGCCCTTTATATTGGAAATTGTCTGTGATTGGAAACAAACGAAGCCAGCTACCATATTAATTTTAGAATTAGGGATGCCCAAAACAGATACATTTTTTAGAAAACCATTTCACGACGATATTGTCTAAATAGGGATACAACGATATATCGGTAAACCGATATATCGAATAAAGGACCCAACCTTCAACCTAAGTGTTCCTAAAAAATCAACATCATCGAAACTTAATATTGAATGAAGTCCTTAGATTACTCTGTATTTACATACAGGGTATCCCACGACTCAACATCAAGCCAAAACGGAGTGACAGGATTGATTGTAACCATCATGAGAACAATCAGAAAAAAAATCTAAACCATGCAGTTTGAAAATAATAGGCATTTAAGAAAAATCTAGAAATTTGGTCAAAATGTAATATTTTTTCGGTTATTATGGTTAATTTTTATTATTTTTGTACATTTAAACTTTGGTACGGTAATCCTTCGTTAGTTACTAAGTTGGTGGTCAGAAGGAATTCAACTACTTGGTTACCTCTGATGTTGTTTTTCTCCATACACCACAGGGGGTGATGAGCGTTGGAGTCCGTTGCGATGATCAGTTCCACGTTCTCCTGCGCACAGAAGCAGACCAGGGAGGCACAAAGATCTCTGGAACAGAAATTCATTAAAGGCTGTGTTCTGATATCTTTCGAAGAGTATATACAGACTCTCACGTCGCTAACAGTGGCTTGAATGAGCTCACCATAAGTTGGAGTCCTCGTATCTCGCCACCATTGACTCACAGCTCCTGGATCAGCGCGATTGCTCTTGTGTTAACCTCCAACCACTTCTACAGCAACAGCGATGCTCGGAGCCGCCGGGGACATGGTTGTGGCGTGTGGTGGGCCAGTGTCTGATGTTGGTGCTGGTGTGGGAGCCTGTGCAGGTTTTGTGTCCGATGTAGTGTCCATTCGTTCCGAGGGGGCGGCACCAGGAGTGGCAACGTACTTCCCCTTCGCATCCCTGAACTTCAGGTACACAGACCCTGAAATGAAGCAGAGTCTGCGACCCTTGGCCAGGATCGCTGTCACGTCCTCGTCGGGAATCGAAAGCCCTATAAAAGTCGTACCGAAGTTGAGTTGTAAATGAATGCCGTTGAGCACCCATCTTTCGGTGTGTTAATGTCCGGGTTCCCGATCGCAAGCCAATTGCCTAGTACTGACCGATGGCTCTTCCACAGTTTTGGAACTACGAAACCGCATCTGACCCTTCTGGGGAACTCGTCAGCCGTCGTCGAAAGGCAACGAGATCAACTCCATCAAGATTAGGCAAGTTTCGTGTTGATTTCCTTACGTGAACCTAAGGCACCCATCTATGTAGAGTGGATTCCCAGTAAACACTAAGGCAACCTTGGCACATTCGTAGCGTACTTTCGTCTGCGCAATTTGCATTATAGCTTCCTCGATCTTGTTCTCTATCAGCTCCACCGTCGCTCGAGACACAAACCTCTCGCTCGACGTGACAGCTACTCGAGTGTCCGACGAGGTCGCTGCAGATGTAACTGAGGCGTACGATTTAGAGATGGGGCGGGAGTTGGGTTCGGTTGCCGACTCGGTCTTTTGCGCTCTTCTCTCGGAGACACAGTCTTGTCGAGTCGTGCCCTCTTGGCACTAGACTTCGCCTTTCCCTTGCCTTTCTCCTTACCTTTTGGCAGTGGGCGCTCTTTTTCCTGACTCGGTACCGGCCTGCTCAGAATCAATTGAGTCAGCAGTTGCTGATGTGTGTGGCAGTGATTTGATTCCTAGAGTGTCCATAACTGTGTAGTTTTTAAACTTCATCCAGTCCGCTTCTCACTCTCCATGGAACCGCACATCTGGGAGTACCCTATAGAAACGAGGTCCAGTAGAATTTCGGACTGGATATAGATTTTGGGAGTTGGTGTCGGGTGCGACACGGAGGCTTGGAATGAGAGTCTATGTTACTGGTTCGAGTAACCCATTTGCCCTACACACCCTCACTTCATCAGCATGACCTTAACCGTCCAGCACAGCAAGCTGCGCCGGATATCTCGTGGCTGCCCTCTGACGGGGCGCGTGACCGTTTCCTCTCTGGCGCTACCCAGAGATGCTACCATTTTGTTTGAATTTTGGACCAAAGGGGGCGTGTTGCGTCGCTAAGGTACTACCGCCGACCTAGCTTCACTCAACCCCCCAAGACTCCTTCATCCCCACTTACGGCGCTCAACTGCGCAGGCCTTAGCGCAGGAGGAGCTATTAGTCTATCGGTTTTCTCCCCCAAAAACCGATAGAACCGAGGCTTTTGTAGAAAGGATGAAAAGAGGGTTAGGAAGCGTGTTAAAGTGCGGAAGAGATCATGGGATTAGTAGGTTTTGGGATTCCCTCACCATGATTGAGTGCACTGGTGAGATAGCGTCAAACGCTTCAGTTACATAGATCCCACGGCAGGTAGTAAATGTGCGGTGCCTGTTATTAGATCCAATTATTACCGAGATGAACGACGTGGACGTACGTGTGACACTTAACGGTAGGCATATCCTGCTCAACACCGCACACTTGAGCATATACCAGCCGCCCTCCACCTCCACTTACCAAGTCACTCACTTTTTTCCTACTAGTTTTTTAAAGAAGGGCCTTTGAAAGTAGACAAATTTAAAAAAAAATAAATTCATAGTTAACAAACAAATAATCTTAATTCTAGGCAACTTAGGTCAATTGTGTCATAATTTTTGACTGTGATTCTAGCTAGAAATGTTATTAAGGGTTACAGTTCCAAAGTTAAAATGAACAAAAATAATAAAAATTAACCATAATAACCGAAAAATGGTTATAGTTTGACCAAATTTCAAAGTTTGCCCATAATTTTAAACTGCATGGGATAGATGTTTTCTGATTTTTCTTATCCTATCACTCCGTTTCGGCTTGACGTTGAGTTCTGGAACAGCCTGTATCCAAATAGCATCTAAAGGCATCTTTACTCGGTCATAAGTACTTATTATCTAAAGAAAAGTATCGAGAACGTACTGGTATCGGTCACATCTCTACTCAGATCTGTCAGTCAGTCAGACAACTTGTGAAAATTTGTGATATTACATAAGTTTTCAAAGAAAAAAAACGATTTAAAAATGGGATTGCATTTCGGAGAACTTGCAAAAATCCGTGGATTGATAACTTATAAACTTTCTCCACACGAACAACGCGCTTTCGCTGGCGCCATTTCCAATGGTATACCAAATATATTCCGAAGGTTCCGCGAAAGCGTATTCAAATGGGCACCCCGTAAGTGGTTTTAACTAAGCTATTTATTTATTTACTCAAGGCACGTCAACATCATAAATACAAAAATAATGTAAAGTTTTTAATGACACTTACCTAGCATTTATGACAGTTCTAGACATGCACATCATTGAACAATTACAAGATGTAGGAATTAATTAATAAATTATCCTGCACAAATAAGAGTTACAAATACAAAACCAACAAATAGAAAATTTTATTCAAAAGTCATTTACTATGTATTAGATGTCAAAATAATCAAAATATTTTGCCCTTGTATTGTCTAAAATTGTCATAAAAGATATCAACATCAAAAATTCCATGCCAACTATTGTACAAGTTTAGCAGCCTTGGCACAGGGGCACTTCTACCCATGTTGGTTTTACTTATAGGAACTCTAAAGAAAGATTTTGAAGTCAGGTTTTTTAAATACTTCCTCATTACAAATGTCACACAAAATATTCATCCGACTGCAATGAAAATGTTTTAACCAAACATTAATACAACTTTTATTTGATTCGATGCTGGCAGTTGTGTTTTTTAGTTTATAATTATTTATTTTTTAGAGAATGTGCAAACTTCATACAGACAAAATATTCTGTGATGTGATTTGATTGTTTTTCATTTTCAACACAAAAGAATATTTTTGACTAAGGGGGTAATACATTATGAAACCCTTGAATATTAGTAAACTGGTTTTGCTTATTTTATCAATAACTTTATTATGTGGACCTTTTTTATTGTATTCCCAAAATTTTTTTATATTGATGGGGCCAAGAGGGAGAAGAGTTTCACATTCATGCTTTCTGAATTAAACAAAAGTAGAAAATCATCTTTTTTCCATCAGAAAAATGGTTGCACCTGAATATTGATGGAACAAACCAATCACATGTTGAAAAAAGTGCCTATTGGTACTCTCATTTGGTTTGGTACTCTAAGAATTTGATAGATATATATTAGTCAACGAAACATACCTATAAGAACCTAGCATGTAAATAGTGAAATATGAAATCACACATGCATTTAATATTATAATAAAACAAAACCGTAGCTAGTAGTGATGCCTCTATGAGAAACAGCTCTCCCTTGTGGTCCCACTGGTAGGACAAAATCATCAGACAAGGATGATTTTGTCCTACCAGTGGGATGACAAGGAGAGGGTATTAAAGATAGGTTGATACATGGTCACACTTAGTTGCATTTGTCATAGAAGACTCACCAAATACCGCCTACTATATTTCCTAAAAGTTGTTACCTATATTTTTTTGTTTTCTTTCAGCATTCGTTGTTGGATATTTGATTTATGAAGGAGTTGAACGAGAACACCACAGACTTAGTCGCAAGAATCCAGCTGACTTTGAAAATGATCAATAAGTAGTTATGTAAATTGAAAATCCTTAAATTTGTAGTAAAATATAATTTCTTAATGTATTCAAATTTATTATTTGTGTTTATATTCTTCATTGTGATGACAGCTATGGCGTAGTGGTAAGCATATTCGTTCTGAGATTTCAGGAAATTTTAAAAAATTGATAATTACTGATCAACATTGCCATGGGTCATGGTCCGTTCTCTCTATTCGATTCGATTCCATCCAGAGCGAAGGCCTGTGCTCAGCAGTCAGGCTTTGCAGTGAGGGCATTAATAGGCTAATGTACAGATTGTATAGTTTTACAGATAGGAATCAACCCATACAACGGTAGTCTGTTAGTGAATGACTGAGACGTATTTACCACAGTAAATAGTCTTGCTTGTATGTTTTAACAAAATACTAAGTATCGAATAAGCAATCAACGCGTATCGAGTATTTAGAAGTATCGACTTACTCGTTACTCACACAAATCCCGAAACTCGGAGACTCGGACGCTGACGTCTAACGCGTTTCGAGAATTTATTAGTCTCGTACTCATACAAACTCGAGAGACGCCGAGACACAATGTAAATATAAATAGACAGTGGTGAAGCTGCCTACAAGCGTTCGAAATCGCTCATCACACATGAACACGCTCACCGACGAGCCGCCCAAGTGAACCTGCAGGACCCTCAGTAACGCGTGTTGCGACGAGACTAATGTTCACGTTACACGTACCGCGATCGTTTATTTAAAAATAAAATTAAATAAATGAATAAAAGATTAAGGAAAAGAGTAGGCGCATGTGAATTAGAAATTTTATATTTTAGACTTTGGTATTTTTTTATATACCCGCTTGTAATTTCAGTATCATGCACATTTTCGGGTTGAAACGTAGTACGGTTTAAACGGTGAAAAACACCCAAAAAAACAGTCGTTCATGAGTGCGCCACCTAAGTTTTTTCTTTACTAACATTTTCCAAGGAAGTTAAAAATAAATCTGTCGACTTCAGCGCTCTTTGGTACCCTATAATTAACCGATAACGTACTTCAATGAATGTTACGATTTTATAGGTTATTTTGAGGACAAAAATTAATAAGTTGTCCATAAGAAGATTACGAAATTTACTGCTTGCTGATTTTGTTTTGCATTGAAGGTATAAAGGTTCAAGAAGATTCTATTTTTCGGTGTCGGGTAGCTTTGCATGTATGAGTGATGACTTATGCTAAAGTTCGTCTCTCGAAAGAAGTTCCTTGGATCACAATGTTTTCGCTTTTATTACAAAGGAATAAGAGTTATGCAGTGGGAATTCTTTTGTGAAATTCTAACTAAACTCCTTTTTGTTTCATATTTCAAAATAGGGTTAATCGATTTTTGATAATCAACGATGTTGAAAGCAAAAAATCAATGTCTTAATATCGATGTTAACAAAATCAATCATCAATGTTAACTCACGGCCTCACATAATACCTTCTTTTTCTTCTTCATGACATCGATGTTTTTCTAATATCGAACATCCCTAGTTATGTGCCGTAATGTCAAGTTAAAAATCGTAGACAGAGAAAGCAATAGACTAATGGTATGTTCTATCTCATTCATCTGGAAATGAAATGACTTATTACAATTTTCATTAGTTAAAGTGAGATAAAAACATTATTTGTTGTCCTTATCGATGTGGCCGGTTTTTTTTGTTTGGCACCAGGCTTGTTTGCACCAAAACGTCAAAATTTTAGGCATAGAAATTGTTGGACTCAAATAATATCGAAAAAAGTTGGAAAGAAGTGTGTTTAAACAATATTTTATATGATGTATAGAGTTTATAATTAAGAAACGTTACTTGCAAATTAAAATAATGGTTAAGTGCAGTGTTATATCTTGCAAAAATAGATCCGAAAGGAATATTGTACGTGTATCATATTTCAGGTAAGTTAGAAGCATTTTGTTTATATCTTCGTCAAGGTAAAATTTCTCAATGCCATAACCGATGTGAATTTTATTAAATACGACACATAACAAGCTAAAAATATTATTATATAAGTTGAATAAGAATATAACCCCAAATCATTAAGGCTGACATCTAAGTGCTTAAAATCTCCCCTCAAAGTGCTTTAAAATTAAATTATCAATATTCTGTTAAACAAATATCAAAATGTTTGAAACTCAACTATTTTGTAAGTACATAGAACTACAAAATGCGATTTAAAAAAACAATTGGGCAGTTTTTAAACTTTTGATTAAAATAAATCCAAGAAAACCTAAAATATATTAGCATTTAAAGCCTCTCAGTAAAGTTTTGCATGATTATATTAAAATACCGCTTAATTTACTGTAATCTGATGTTAAATTACATCTTCTAGACTTAATTGAATATGATTTCTGTATTTGGAATCACTAAAAAATGTGCTATGTATTTGGTTAGAAATGTTAGAGTTTATAGTAGATAATATAACTATTTTTATCAATAAATCTCGGCCAAATATGTTTTTTCTTCATAAAATATTGTTATTCCATATGACAATCATATTATTATCATAATGATGACCTCAATTTTCCAAATTAAAATATGAAATTAAAAAAAGAAGTGTTATAGTAATTGTGTTTATATTTTAGATTTTCATCACATGAACATGAACTTCAAAATTGATTGATAAATGAAACTGAACTTCAAAATTGGATTGAAGCTTGCAGAAGACCAAATTGTAAGCCTTCGAGGCATGCCAGGGTGTGTTCAATGCATTTTGAAAAACATTTATTTTTAAATGTAGGAAGACAAACAACATTGAGTACATAATAAGGATTTTACTAAATAGATATAATAGTTAAATACTTATTATACAAGTAAGGTATTTATTACTTAACAAGTCCACTTTTTATAATACCTTCCTCAAAGGGATATACACAGTGTAACAATAAGAATGGTAAGTATTCTATACTTTAAGTCTGTTATAATAAGAATGGTAAGTCTGAAACTATAAGATATTGTATATTAGTAGTAAGCAGTTAATACTTTGAAACACAATGCCTAAAATATATAAAATGCATTATCTTCATATCTTTTCAATTATTTTGTTGGTTTCATACAATATTAATTAACCGTGTAAAACCTTTTTAGTTTGAGAATCTAAACTGGACATTTTGAAAAATAAAATATTCATAATTTATACTAGATACTGATAGTCTAAGTTTTAAACTTTTAATGTTATTATTAAAGAAGAATTGCCTTCATTAAAAATTAATCCTATATCTCTATACTTGCTAGGAAATGTTAAATATTACTACGTCAGTTTAAATATTTGATTTGTTCTTGGAATTATAGTTTTTTTGCACTTGTTAAGTAATGTTTATTTACCATGCCATAATTATTCTTCATAAATATTATAACTTATTTGTGCCATAATCTTATCTTCAAGTATTATCTGTGCTATTCTTTTAGAAACACACTGATTATGATTTGTTTGTATCTTTATAATAAAGAAATGCTAGAAAATATATTGTGAAATAATATCGGCTATGTTTCTTTTTTTTTAAGAATTCTTGTCTATGATTTAAGAGTATTGTTAGCTAACCAAAATATGTTTTTTTTTATTTTGTATTAAAATATAATAGTTACGTATCATATCATATATAATATTATAAAAATTAAAGGTTTTATTGTTTATTTTTTACATCGAATAGGCTCCGAAACCACTGGACCGATTATTATATTTGATTAATCTCAAACTACCAGGGACAAAGTGGTTTTTTAAGCATTTTTATTAAGATTACTGAACCAATTTTAAAAACTCTTTCACATACGGGTAGTACACCATACGCAGTTGACATAGGCTGCAGTTTACATAAACGAAGTCGCGTGAAAATAGCGAGTTTATAGATATTCTAGTTTGAGATAAGAAATCTTCTGGGACTGGTATTAGAATTCGAGCGAAGTATCTTGGGGGACTAACGACAACCGTCAAGTCTCTTTATGAAATCGACCAGGATAACGGATACGACGGCAGTGGTGTACAAACGCCCATACCTCGAAAACACTAATACGTGCTCTGCTAATACTGTCTTGAAGTAATGAAATCCAGAATCTGAGTAATTACTGATCAAAGTCAAAATAGGCTTACATATTTGTTTTCGATCAATAATTATTAAGATTCTGGATATCTATTTATTAGTATTTCGTCACTAAATATGAGACTATTAGTCAGATTCGATTGGATTAGTCAGAATGATAAAATACTTTGTGGTTACTAAGATCTACGAAATATCAACATGTGTCAATAGTTTCAACGTTTTATTTCATTCTAAAATGACCTAAGGTTTTAAAAAATGGTCTTTCTAACAGCTATTGAGTAAACATACAGTGGTGCTGCTGGACTGACGTTAGCCCAACATCATCACAATGTTTCTTATTTGCCTTTCTAAACATAATTTTATCATTGAATAGGTACGTTATTCTCCTATAAACGGTTTTCTTTATTGTCTATATATGTTTTTTTTTAATTTTGGTTGAATTAAATTTTAAAAATAGTTTTGTTTGTCTAAATTAGACTTTTTTGTGCATATTCTAATTTAATCAAACTTAATTTTATTTAGAAAACTTCAGTAAAGAAGCCCATTGATTCAATGTGCTAGTTAATTTAAGATGATAGATAGTGTATCAATATTTCTACAATAAAAAAATGTTCCTCTATTACTAATTCTTTCATCCATGGGAAGTTACATCATACGTGGTTGACTACAGCTATAATTTGGTGAAATCGCAGAAAAGTAGATAGTTTCTGAACATTTCTACAAATTATGTTGACCAAATTATTCCTCCTTTGCTAATAACAAAATATCTCCCCATAATCGAGGAACATTTTACTATATAGTAACACTGATGATTTATTTGTTGTCCCTTACGGTGGCACGCCTAATAGCCCTCTATAAGTACTTACTCTAAGTTAAAAATCTACATAAAAACAAAGATTTACATGTTGTTGTGACCCGTACGTATGTAATATTTCCAGAACTGACCAGTTTTCGCATATGTTAGTCTCACGTTAGTCTATATCACCACAGTGTAAATATAAGTAGATATCACCGTC